GTTTTCACTGCAAACACTTTTCCTGTTTTAAACACTTTTTCTTGTTTCAATGACAAGAGTAAAATTATCGAAAAAGAAAATAATTTTTTTAATTCTATAACTAAAATGGATGTAAAATACTGTATGTATATATTTTATTTGAATGAATTATTTAAAATAAAAAATGATTTCATCCGGATATGAATTAATTGTTCTTACAGCAGGTACAGATAATTTATTATTCTAAATTGTTATTTTCATATGCAATTTTCTTAAGTCTTCTTCATATCTATTTCAAGCGGTAATGTCCAACACGTGGTATTTCCGGTACGTGCAAGACCACCATCGGTACTTCCTGTACTGAGGGTTTTCTTCCGGTGCAAGTCAGTCAGCTTGTAAGAACAATATCTCTAGTACTGGTTAATAAAATGTGTATTGATTACTGAATTTCTCTTGAAAATCACTACATATTAAAATAGTCTGTAAAAAAATAGGTTTGATTAAAAAAAATGAATTTACATAAAAATTTGAGTTTAACAAAAATTTATTTCATGAAAACTTAAATATCATCTTTATGAAATAATTAAGAAAGATTAATTGAAGCCATAAATTCCAAAACAATACAGATATACTTTTAAGAATTAAAGAGAATAAATTAAAATTTAAGAAACCTAACTTGAACCTAATCAAAAATAAATTAATAAAAAATCTGTTCTCTTGGAAGTATTAGTTGGATGACTTGTGCTGGTTTGGAATTCATAGCATCAATTATTAGCATACTTGGGATGGTAATTGAAACTGTGTATGCCAATAACTGGCACATAATAATTTTATATTAATCTGACAAACAAATTATTTCATATTTCAAGTACGAGGATGAATCCCTATTAAAGTTGGGAGTGACAAGGATTAATGTAGTGGGAAATTAGTATAGCTCAGTCCCTATATTCATAAATATACTCAGTCAGGAATACAGTTTTACAATTTAAAGATCATAAAAATGTATAAATGTCTTATAACTTTGAACACTAGTGTATTTGCTTTCTTTTTTCTATAAAAAATAATGGAACCGTTACAAATATGTCTGTACATCACGAAACAACTTACCTGGATAGTTGGATAAAAAAAAAAAGGATATCTGCACGGTAAATGGATCCCATCGCTCTTTCCGCAGAGCATATCATTACAGTTTCCAATAGATTGGAAATAGAGAATAGGAACCGAGGATGCACCAGGGAGAATTTTCTCGTTCTCCTTGGCAGGCTTCCTTCTCCTCTTTCCAATGACTCAAGTCCACTGACCGAGACTCGGATGCCATGTTATAAAGCTGAAGAAAAAAGAAGTCGCGATCGTAAACCGAGCTCGCTTCCACGCTTCGCGATAGTAGTTCCGTCCTGGCGATCGGACAAGTCGTTTTTCGTGGAATGTCAGGAAACTTCGGATTCCTGGTGAATTTTCTCGGTGAAATTCGACCATTCCCTACAATTTAATCGTTTCGTTCTATTCACACGACAGTATGGTGCAAGGCGATAGGCAAACCATCTCAAAGTAGAATTTTCAAAATCGCTACTAGAACTGGGACGTGATTTATTTATTTATATTAAAGATCTTAATATTTTAATTAAATACATACTTACTAATTGAATGAGTATAGTATTAGAATACAAAAAATTATTACAAAAATGTTGAACAATAGCATTGTTATTATTCATCGATAGAAAACATTTCTACTTGGTTTCTTTAATAACTTCAAGGTGAAATTCAATTCCAGTAATCAGAAATGATTTTTAAAACAGATGATCATAGGTCTCGTAGGTTGATCAGAAAATTTCATTCTTCCTTTTCATTTCTATTACTTCCTGGTTTGTGTGGTTATTCATAATTGCTTCTGATTCACAGAAAATTGATCCAAATCATTTCACTGGAACTTTTAATTTTAACATTCTTTTTTCCATTAAATATTTTGTTATCTAAATAAAATTTCAAATATTTCTGTCAGTAGCATTAAACAATGCTTTTATGAAATATTGAAGATTTTAAATGTGCCATTTAAATTTCAGTCGCATTACCATTTGAATACTTTCCCAAACTTATATTTCCTTCAACAAAAACGAGGCCGTTCTTCACAAGTTTCCCAACTGAAATAAACATTTTTCCCAAAAGAGCAGAAGTTTTCGAAATACATGATACGCGAATTAAACCTCGATCGTTTGCGTAATCCAGTGAAATAATTGTGGCAATGGAACGCGGTAAAAAAAGTTGAAAGAAAGGATTGTTATGGAAAAATCGAGTGCTGTGCTTCACGGTGGCGCTCCTCAGTCGTGGCAGGACGAATAAATAAAGCGACGAGAATGACCCACACTCGATTATATTGGCAAAGCGGAAAAGAGACAAGCATCGGTTGTTCAACAAAGAATGAGTTGGATAAAGACGAGTGGATAGAAAATATGGCCATGATATTTACTAACTGCGGCCTCCACGTGAAAGTGCTTGGTTCTTCGCTTTGTAACTTGGCCGAGGAACGCGTACGGTTTCATGTAACGGGTGACATGATCGAACTTTTCGATGAAAAGAAAATAAGAAAAAAAAAAATTAAGATCACGTTCGGATTCGAGGCAAAACGTTGCGTTTCAACGCTGTTATCCCTTGTTATCCGTGACAGAATTCGTTTATTATTAATATATTCCAAGGATTCTGTATAGGTTCACCCTGAACAGAGAAACGAGGAGAGAACGTGGCGGAAAAATGGAACGATCGAGTTGCGAGAGATTCGAATGTGATGGAATTTGACCTAAATAAGAGTTTGTAGAAGCGTGAACTCTCTCCCTTTTACATCTGCCCGATGGAGCTCGCGAATAAATCGTACCAGACGTGTCTTTTTTTAATTAACCAACGTGCTTTGTTAATGATAGAAAATATTATCTTTCATGGAATTTAATTCAAATTATTTATTTTGAAGAATTACTATGATTTTTATATATTTCTTTGCTATTGGGGTGTGTTCTATTTTTGGTTTATGAGTAATTCTCAAAATATGATAACCCTTGAACCCAGTTACAATTTAATTTATTATTGCATATTATTTTAATTTTCTAAATTTTACATTGTTCCTCTAAAAGTTATTCTTTCAGTATATAAAACTTTTTTATTTAAAAATTATACATTTAACCTTATGTTAATATTCTTGTTAATGTCCTCTTGTAGGTTTGGGTTTCAATTGACCCAGACTCTCAAGCATATGTTATATTCTCCTTTTCTCATTTTTTTTTACCCGTTGGTTATTGAATAGCTTGGTGAACCAAGCGTAACATTGCTCTCGATTGTTACCTAAAAACTAGCATGGTTCAGTGAAAGTCAATTTTTACCAGTATTGACATTATTCATGTTTCTTCCACATAAAGGCGAACGCTGAGGTTGCATTATCGCTGTATCAGTTTCACAAATTATTTGAAACATTTAATGTAAATTTTATTTTTCACTGAAACACAAGTTTATTTGTTTATCAAGCATGAGAAGCGAATTGTAATTATTTTTTGTTACCTTTTTTATGACACAATCGTTCGTTTCAATTGCAAGAAACGCGACGGATAAAAAAATGATTCGATTTTATTAATAAATTGAAAGAATTAATGCACTGCCTCGGGAACGGTATTCCAGTTCGTCAACATTTTAATCGAGACACTTCGTAAAAGGAAAAAATGTAGGTTACTCAAGCAATTTAATCCGGTAACGCTTGACTTCACTTCATCAACCAGTTCGAAACACCTAAACTTCGTCAGTTCCATTAAAATCTATTTCTGTAATTATTTTATCAAATAAACTCCCTGGCAAACTTACAACACCATAATTTTCTTTGAAACTTGCATCGAGAGTTAGTCAAAGTTTTAACAGGAAGTAATAAATATCATAGATACTTTTCACTAACGCTTTACGGATCGCGAATTCCTGAAGGATCTATAATTTTTATAATTTTATATCCTGTTTATATTTACAAGAAACATAACAACTGTTTGAAATTCATAGAAAACTGTAAAATACAATGCTATAAAATGCCATTTTTTTTCTTTCTCTTCTTTTCAGATACAGATAAATTATTTTTAGATATATTTCTTTAAAAAAATATTAATTATTCTGTAATTTATTGAGTGGTTTGATAAAATAACATGTATGACCACAGCCAGTGTAAAAGTGTTACATATCACGTATAGCTATCTATTACTGTGGTAATAGACGCATTAAGCATTATTTTTCTAATAAATTCTAATCTTTTTAATAATCTCCATTAATAGTACACAAAGAACGAAGGACATACAGTTCCCTCGATTTCCTTATCCTTGTACCGTAACACTTCATGGTACCTTTCGAAACACCTCGTTCAATGCTTACCTATATGGTCCATTCAAGTGTATCAATTTTTCATTTTTCATACTTAAGAGAATAAGATTTTAACCTAGATTCATTCAAAAGCCACCGTACTTATTAGAAGATAATTGGTCCTCCATCGGTGAAGTACCATTTCGTGGATAACTCTCTAAAGATAATTCGTCCAAGAAATTGTCCTGATAATGATATTATTTTTAAACTTTCTTTGGCTGCTAAATTCATTGAAAACCTCTGACTTGTTCATCGGTAGGGTGCCATTTCACGGACGATCCCATAAAGGTAATTAATTCAAAGAATTTCACTGGCGTCGCTAATGCCCTTAAGATCTCTTCGTAAAATAGGATTTGGACCTATAGATTCATCCAAAAGTGGTTATCCTCTTGTCAGAGGAACGTTGCTTCTCCATCCGTAAGGTGCCATTTCGCGGACGACTCCGTAAAGGTAATTCGTCCAAAGAATTTCGATGGAAAATATTCTCTGTGGTATCCTTAAGGTCTCGTCGGGTGCTCCTCGCAAAACAAGGACAGAAGAGAAGGGGATACGAAGTTGTATAGGCACCTTTCTCGCTGCGCTCGCTATGGAATGGCAAAAAAGAGAGGAGGCACTCTGACGTCACGTTGGTTGGTCGGTAGTGCCGCTAGCCTCTCACTTGGTCGGCGACGTTCGGTATGCCCGGTTCGGTTCTCCTCTTGATCCGATCTCGATCCGTTCGATTTTGTGCCACGATCGTTCGATAGCCTTTCCAGCCGATCGAACGAAGGTCGCTCGTTGAAATTCGGCCCCTGGTACCGTGCAAAATGTGCGACGACACGCGACGACCCCTCGGTTAGACCGGTGTGCTAAACTGACAGTGAAGTTGTTCCGTGCGAATCGGCCAGCTCCATTTGACCCGACAGTGCATGGCTGATTTCAAGTTTGTTTCTATCGTTGGTGCCATGATCATTTGGATACCATTGTGAATGGATTAGATAGCTACCGCGGTAAGTTCAACCTCTTTTCTTCGGCCACTTCCGGCTGCTCTTGATCAGCTCCTGTTGCGTTGGTTCACCGTTAAGATGGTGATAAATGGATTAATTTTAATTGTCATTTGTATAGAATTGTTTATAATGAAAATAATTTAATAGTAATTGAAAAGGTAGTAATATTGTGTTAGATCACCAGGTAGATACGGAAGTAGAGAATTGCGTAAGATTCTATATGCGATGATAAAAATGGTAATTTTTCATTTTTGTCATTTAAGAAAAGTGTTTTTAATTAAAATATACTGAGAGATTAAGGTGGAAAGATTTTTTCGGGATTGTTATGAATTTTCAAGTTTCGACTGGTCAGTTTGGCGATGAGATCATTGTTGGGAATTGGGAACTTCGAAGATGATACAGATGAAGAATTATTCATAATAATAAAAATGATTTGATGGTAAATGGAGAAATGAAAGAGACATTGTTGTATAGATTGTTATATACAGTAACAAGCAGTGGCAAAAATGAGTAATTCCATTTTTTATTATTTCTAAAATACCCTTATTAATAAAGTAGGGGATTTTCTAAAGATTATTATAATCTTTTACATTTTGTCTTGCTACTTTTTACTTGGTGTAAAAGTTATTGAAAATGATAGAATTAATTAGAATATAATAAAGAATATATCTATCAGACAAATTCCATCAAGTTATAAGGATTCTGAGTTTGACGATAAAAATGGCTAATTTTTTGCAAATACTTTTTCTTTATTACTTACATTCTGATGTGCAATAAGACAAAAAAGGTAGAGAGACACTTTCGGTGAACTTTATTAAAAATCAACTGGTTTTTCGGTTGATTTACATGGATGAATCCACGGACCATTGACCTTTAAATGTCCCTATGTTGGAGAACTGTTCGAAATGCTCTTTCGTCCGCTTAGCATGAATAATTGATGGTAAACATCCAGGTTGGCCTGGATAGAATGAAATATTTGAATTCAGTTTTACGTCAGAATATTCTGTTTTCGGAGAAATCTTGCGCTAAATGGTACTCGGTGATTCTTATTTTTGAATAATTGTTTAGTATATTTATCTTTGAAGCGAACTTGTGATTCATTATTTAATTAGAAAGCGTTATTACAGTGTTCGAGATGAATTTATTTGCCTTCTTCAAAAATGTTTGAATGGAACGGTATAATATCCAGAAATTTCGAACTTTTTCCTGGTAAACTTTTCTGTTGGTCATTTTGTATGCATTACTTTCAAGGAAGAGAAACGCGGCCACTTGTTTCACTGCTATTTTTTCATATTTCTTGCTAAATGAAAGCACTTCATTTTAATGCAATTACTTATTTAAAAAATTGTATATTTTTACATATATTGAAAGATTAAGAAAATTAAAATACCACTGAGTTATCTGTTGAAGTATTTTTTTCCTTCTTAATAAAATTATTTTGAAATATTATAATTTTGCAATATTAAGTACAAATTTTCTTAATTTTAAGCTAATTCAATGTTTCGTAGAAAATTTTTTCCAAGAAAATTTCATATAATGGAATATAACGATTTATTAATTTTAGTTCGAGCGAAAAGTAACACCGATTTCTATGTCTCTTTTATTTTTTTTTACTAGGATTGCAGATAATGATCACGTGTAGTATTACGTGAGTACATACGAACCTTCGCTGAAGTTGTTAACTCATTGATATATGCTGTAAACTCGCGTCCTCAGATTTACGACTGTATTTTATTCGTGTCACTGGTATTCAGATTTTCATTTAAACACGTAAAACAATTGTTGCAAATCTTTCATATTTATAAATTCCTCTATAACATAGTTTTATTTAAGACACGAAATTCTGTTCTTTTATTAAAATTGTCACCGCCCACATGTAATATAAAATTTTAAGCTGCAGAATTTCTTTTACGTCAAGGTACACGTGCAATATATACATATTTCACTGTTGACGTAGATTCGATAAAAAAGATATTGACATTATTCAACTTTGCTTTTCGTCGCAAGATAGAATAAATTAAAGCTTATTAATGTGCAAGGTATTTAATAGAAGACACTTTTTTTATCGTTTTTAGATAAAGAACAAACGAGTGGTACTTAAATAAAATTATATAAATGATTAAGAAAATTTTGAAAAAGAAAAACAAATGTGAGATTAAAAACATAATACTATTTTATACGTTAATCCTTTTCTATGTCGTTCGATTGAAATAGCTGAACGTGTGTTCTTCTTTTAGAAAATGCACCGATCTAGTAATCGTAAAAGGAATAAGGGGTTAACGGGTTAAAACAAACTGCTGTGATTAGACAGCACCGTCGTAGTGTGAGAATCAGCTTAGAATTACCGATGAACAGCGACCGGAATCGGTCGTGAATGTTCAATTGAATTCAGTCTAATCACTTGAAAACCCCAACCGAAAATTTATGTTAAAGATAATTACCATAGAAATAATAAATAGTTTCGTATACCCCCGATAAATTTGATAAAAATATAATTTAGTCTGAAATTGTTGTTCATTGTAGTGAAATTTCATAGTAATTTCTTAGTCTAAGATAGATGGAATTGAATATCTCGATAGGATGAAATATTTTTGGTTGACCAGTTTCGAAAGGTCGAAGAACTGTTATAGCTTCTTCGGTGGCTAGTTTCCCATGGCGCATTCAGGGCATCTCGATTCGTTCGATTTGTTTCGTTCTAGAGCATAACTAACAAATATCTCGCTTCCATGAATCGCCTTGCAACCAGAACTCCGGAGTACTTTGACTCCATGGTATCCAGTAAGTCCAGTTTGAGTAAGCATCCCGACTTCTCTCTACCTTCAAGTGGATTGACCTCTGCCGTCAGGATTCGTGATAGGAATAAATTCTCGATTATGTCTCCTCGTCTCCTCACTTCTGTGAGTTTCCATTCGTACGACAAACCGAATCGTTCCTTTCAATTTTGGATACCGTCTGGTCATAGTCGAACTGGAATCGGTATGTGAGCTGTTTAACATAACCCTTTTCCTTCGTCTTTTTACCTTGTACTCGAACAAACATCGTTGTAACAGTTGTTCTGTGACCTCTCGAAGAGTTATAGGCGTTTATCTTGCACGATGATGGAATACAAATGTTGGGATTAAAGTCTGAATTTTTCTTCTTTCAAGATATTCTTGGTTATTGTTTAAAAATATGATTTACGTTTAATCGTGACCATCAGGAGACGGTTGAAAGTTTAGACTTTCGAAATCTACAGTGATGAAAATTATAATATATGTGAAATTTTAGACGAATTTTGGTTAGTTTAAGGATAATGGCAATTAGAAGACAAATAGGTGGCTTACTTTTATTTTTAAATAGAATTTATAATAAAAAAATAATATAAATAGGGGAAAGTTGGAATAATTGGATCACTCAATTATTATTTTTTTGAAAATTTTTTAAAATGTCCTCGTAAAAAATCGTAATAGATCATGAAAATCTAAATAATAAATAAACGTGATTTTTATGCCATTGATATTGCTACTTATCCTGAGAAATAATCAACAACGAAGCTTTTACGATCAGACGATAAAATTCAAGATGAGCAACCACCAGTTACATCATTCTTGTCCTTTGGTTCTTCTTATTTTAAACCGCAGAAACAGGAGATGAAGGAAATATAATTTTAGTCAAAAATTATGGGGGATAAACTTACGAAACGTTAGACGTTTGTGGTAGATAAGTAGAAGAGATAGCTGTATTACATTTTTCAACAATTATCAAATGTAATGAAATAAAGTGGTCATCAAGTTTCTGAAACCAGTATTTCAAACGTTTTCAGTCAACTAAAATTTATTTATTTATTCTACAGTGCATTATAAACACCTTTAACCCTTTATTTATTTCAAAGTTTTCAAAATAAATTTATGCTAATTGTTTAGAAATCAAAAGTGAATAATCTTACTACATTTAAAATTACATTATCTTAGATGCTATAATAATTCAATAATAATAACGATGTTCTTTGAAGTATAGGCGGTAGATATTTAAAATAGATATTTTTAATTATAAAACGTAAATTAAATTAGTATTTATTAATTTTTTTAAAATTAATAATATTCTGTGCACATGCTATGTTTCGTTTCAAAAGGTTAATTACTATGGTGTTTAAATATGAAATTGATAATCTATGTCCATTTTCATTGTATGCAAAATAGCAGACATACACGGAAGGAACTTGAAAAAAAAATATGAAGAAGCAGATTCTAGTAAGATTGTAGATTAATTTGCACAAAAGCGAGGGTAGGAAATCTTCTCATAAAACTTTGTCGCGATTCGAGCGATAATCGTCTTCACACGGAAATTGCACGTAGAAAGACGTTAAAAAGTTAGTTCGCTGGGCTGAAATGTTAACTCAATAGGATTTTGACGTGCCGTAGAACTATGAGAATAGCTAGACAATTGAGAAAGCATCGCGGCAAAATTCTCTCTGATTGTTTTCGTAGAAAGTAAACATAGTGGGAAGGGGATTCTGGCGAGAGTAGGCTCTTTCTTGTGTTTCGAGAAAGGTTGCCGCACGAAAGGATCGTAAAAATCCAAATTAGACCTAATTAAACGTGGCTGAAACAAAAAATATAAGAAACTAGTCGAACCTTTCTCGCTAAGAAAAAAGAATCTGCGACCGACAATCGAAAACTAAGGGCGCGTATAATTTTGTCAATTTTTTTTCAAATTCTTCATCCATTAAGAGTTGAAAAATTAAAAATTAGTGTCTCTAACTAATATTGATGTAAAGTTTGTAGAAAGAACAAGCTTCCATTCTTTCCTGCCTCAACATTTGATTTAGAATTAATATTTACTTGTGTTCTCATTTGTAAAATTTTATATTTTCAATATAATATGAAAGCCTTCCGTTTAGAAATTTGAATGCCTAATTTTAGTCAATGCGCTGTTGTGGGTATACGTTTCGTAGGTCTGGGTCACAACTGACCCGGTTATTGTCGTTCTAAAGTGTATTATTCGCAGTAAAGGAGTAGTAGTCG